CCATGGCGAGGAGCACGCGGCACGAGTGAGAGGACTTGGTGAGACCTACGGCTGATAACCTATTTCAAATAGGAAACAGCCTAAAAGATACACCTTTTTCCTTGAGCCAGAGGTACGCGTAGTAGGGGCAATGTATGTACAATAGCTGTGAAAAATACATCTTTTTCACATCTGAAAAACTGACTTTGCCGGCCAGTTTCCACCACAGCTGCTGCTGTCAAGGTGTTGCCGTGCACAATCCGCATCTTGCTTTGCGAGTCACGGAGCAGGCCCAAGCCGCCTGGAAGAAAAACTGACATGCCAGTGACCCAGCTCAAAACAGGCCTCGAGCCAATTTGGCGTAAAGGGGTGGCCTCCACCAGGCGAAAATACCAATTCTACATCGAGTGAAAACATGAAGAAGGATCACACAAAATGGCGACAGGTCATGTAGCATCTGGCTCACGTCGAGGCACCATGGTTCATCCATTCGGCCTTGTTCAATGCTCCCAGGCATAGGACAGACACTTGCCGCTGCTCCGCCAATCGGGCGGTCTTCACAATGCGTCCCTGGGCTTTCAAAAGAAAAAAAAGGAAACGATTTAAAAAAAAGGATACCAAAGTGGTGAACTGGGAGAACTGGTGAATCCCATGAGTGAAAACTACCAAATGGGTGCCTTCTTCTGACGCATACCTACCTACCACGTCAAGTGCGAGCGAACGCCCGCCGCTGTCGCAACCCGTTGGAACGACCCGTGCGACCGGGCGCAGACATGGCGCAGTCATCCGGTGGCTGGTGTGAAGAAAAATGGAACATGGATGAACATGGTTGTTAGTGACTCGAATCCTGAAATCTCGGGTTTTCGTCATGGTTGTCAAAGAGTTACAGTATATTATTAAGGGTTGTAGATGAAAGGACCATCGATCACGGCATGCATAATGCAGCCGCACGCAAGTGCAAGAACAATTTGCCGTTTTCAGGAAACAGTGGAATGAGGCCGAGGTGCCTCTACATGTCTTCGAAATGGCCACAGAACGTATTGATAGCCAAAGTTGGAGAGCACCCAATTCTGCATCCTGATGCCTGAATACTCGATGTCTTCAGCCACCTCCATACATTCCCCATTCCGAAGCCATGGCCATATGATTGGTATGAGAAGTGACAAAGGTGGTGCCACCAAATGCATCCACCAGGTCGCTTTCCACCCTCCAGAGCTCGAGCTGCTCGACCACCAAAGGCTGAACAAGGAACTCGGATACGCGGGATGCGAGAGGAACACCAAGTCGATCTCGTCCGAACAGCGATCCTTCTGGCTCTGCACATCCGTCCGCCTGGCCCGGACCGTCGCCTCCTTCCGCTCGCTCAAGAGGCTGCACACGCGACAGCTTTGGGAGGTGTCAAGATCCTGGACGACCCGTGCAGCAGTGAAAACTGATCCAAAAGTGTCCCCCGAAAAGTCCAAAAAGAAAAACCCGTGCGGCATCAAACCAAGAGTTAGGCAACCAAGAGTTGCGGCGAAAAAAGCATCGAAACAAGCTTATTAAGAATCGTATCTTTAAAAAAAAGGACATCAAGCAACACCCTCGATCATTCTCTGATGAACTTTGGGTAGAAGTCCAATTTCAGCGTTTCACTTGGGAAAGCCAAGACACTTGCACCACCGGTCTATATAGCTTGCGCCATGTCTCAACAACTAATGTAGCTGTGCTCTTCTGGGTGGCTTGATTGAGAGCGGCATGGACAATCCAAACCATGAACCTGACCAGCCAAAGCAACTGCTACAAAGAAGACAAACAATGCCTAGCGGGGAAAAACATACTAAATGCACTTGCCACAAAGAACACTGCGCAGTCATCGGCTGTGCAGCAAGGCAAGAACTGAGCAACTTGCTGGAACCGTTTCGAGCAACAGAAGGTGCAAATATCGAAGACATCCAGCGCGATCACCAAGCATGTCTTTGACAATCAGCACGTGCGTGAGTGTGTCGCTGCCTACAAATCTGGAAGCCATTGGGACAGATGTGTTGAATCTGTTTGACCAAAACCAAACCCTGAAACCATCCTGAAACCCTCCAAAGCCACCATCGCCACAAAAAAATGCGCATCGATGTGTGTCTCCTCTTTCCGAAAAAGGGCGAAGATCCATGCGACTCACCTGTTCTTCTCCGTTTGCTCAACCCGCTTCACCAAACATCACACCTCTCCCAGGGCCCGGGCCTTGTAGAAAGATTCGCAAAGCACTGACCGCCACCTGTGCCACGGTCTCGTTGTGCCAATGGTCGATGAGGAGCCTCATAATCCCCAACATGGGCGATGAGCGCCTGTTGGCATCGACGCAAATGCTATACATCTTCACGAGGTGGTAGACAGAGGAGACCAGGATTAGTACCTGAGTCCTGTAGGTTACAGAGGTGAGGCATGCAAGCATGCTGAGCACTTCTCGCGACCAATACATCACCAGCACCCCAGCAATGACCCAATGCTGGCCATTTTGAAGCAGAGACACTCCATACTTTCGATCAAGGTGTTGGCAGAAGGGGTTCAGCAAGACGTTCGCATGTTGAAGCATCACCCATCCTTCATGCAAAAACAAGATGAGTGAAATTGAAGGAGGACTAGAAGGAGCACCCAGCTGCAAACCATCCAACAAGAAGAGCAGCATTGCATACATCGCAGATCCTATTTGCAACGTGAAGATGGCAGCCAGAAGTTGTCTGCTAAGTCCAGAACTGTGGGAGGCTTGGCGCTGGGATGATTCGACTTCTCTTCCTCTTTTCCTCTGTCCCACTTCTTTCCAAAACTTTCCTGCTCGATGATGCAATAAATCGCAAACAACACATGCCTCCACTGGGTCGGGAGCTACCACTTTCTCCTCGCTTTCGGACCGGGCTTTAAAGCCCAGCATATGACGCCAGGTTTCAACCACCAAGGTGGCCGTGCTCTTCTGAGTGATCTGGTTCATCACTGCATGAACGAGCCAAAGACCGAAGGTGACATGCAAAAACAGCACGCCCTCTTCACCCAGGCCCGAATGAATCATGTCACGCACAATGAGAACCTTCCAGGGTGGAAAAGTAGATGATAAACGGGTGTGTATTTAATGCTTTAGCTGTTTTACAAATTATAGAAAGACCTCCAGGCAATGACCCCCGTGGAAAAAGGGAAATATACCAGTCAATAGACCAGTCTACCCATCGGGCGAGGGGCCCTATTGGAATACACCAAATGGCATTCTACACTTGCTGCAACCAGCCACAACTGAAACGCAACAAAAACGCAACAAAAACACACACACACACACACACACAAACGCACACTCCGTGACTGCAAGAAATATATATACACAACCTACCAAGCTGACATGAGTGAAGGTGTCATAGCCCTGCAGTGCCATTCGCAAGAGGCTGATCATCTTGGTACTGAAGCTTTGGAAATGCCAATGGTCGATGAGAAGTTTCATGATACCCAAGCAGGGAGACCAACACCTGCGGAGCGACCCAAAAGCTTCGCAGCTTTAGACATCGACGCGTTTTCCCACGGATGTCGACCGCGTTTTCTGACGTGTAACGGTTTGGGAGCGCCGTGGCGGTCCAAGGTTTGGCCAAACTGGATTTTCCAGGATCTGGGCGGATCGGTATCCATGTCAAAGTCTGTATTGAAAAAAATCCCGGTTTCTCCGTTCGATCCCTAAGTGTGAAAATTCGGCATTGGACCAGGACCAATGGTCAAATAAAAGATGGCAAAATCGCAGAGTCGCCGGGGTCGAGACCGGAAGGGGATTTGATCGGCGCCCGAAATGCACAACTGGGGAGCCTTTGCGCATCCTTGCAAATGTTGAGCATTTTGACCATATGATATGCCACGGAGATGAAGACAGCCACCTGCGCATAGAGGGAGATGTAGGGCAAACATAGAAGCCTTGGAGTTGCTGAATTTTCGGAACCGGGCAAAAAACATAGACACACATCTTCCCCGCTTTGGGGGGGGCTTTACCGATGGGAGAAAAATAACACGGAAAAATATCACTGGAGACTTTTTCGCCCAAACCGTGAAGCATGCTCGCCACCTCGCGAGACCAATACATCACTAGGACGCTGGCAATCACCCAGTGCTGTCCTCTTCGCAGCATCGCGACGCCGTAGCGCCGATCCAGTTGCTGACAAAAGGGGTTGAAGAGCACGTTGGCATGCTGAAAGGTCACCCAAGCTTCATGGATCAGCAACACTGCCATCACCTGGCAGGTTTAACAGATCGGAGTAACAAGTTCCACTGGCTGGCATCCATTTGGAGAGGACGGGGGGGTGGCGGCCGGACCCAAAAACAGAGTTCTGGATCCACGACCGGCGTCGGACACCGCCACATGGCCGCCTATTCACGGCCAACCCTGCGCGCCTTTCGAAGTGCGCCCGGCGCGCTGACCGTGCTGAGGTCGTTGAGCGTCAGAAGCTTCAGCGACCAGCACATCGCAGCGTAGCCTCAGACATCGCCGAGCCGGTGGGCGGCGCTGGTCGAAGGCGCGCGCGCGCGCGCGCTCGGTGGAAGCGAAGGAAGAGTTACAAAGATCGACTCCGAGACGACTCTGTTTCAGTGCTCTCATAATTCCAGCAAATTTGCATGGTTTATATAAGGGAACATCTCCAATCCAATGATTGTCGAATTGGAACATTTGAGCTGTCCTGAACCAAGTGGCCAGTGCAGCCACTGACAGCAGTCAAGGCTGCTGGAACCCATGGTCCTTCCTTCATGGAAGCGCCAAACAAAATGCCAAGCAGCACCACTTGGAAATCTAACTACTATCAACCAACAACTGATATGTTGGGCCGAAAGAAGGGCAGGGTGCTTCCACGAACCTCAACGCCCAAGGAGGGCGTAAAAGAATCATCCAGACTTCCAAAGGCACAATAGTGACTGTGGTTGAAGTTTTTTGGCTCAGGCGAATGGCTGGAATGGCGAATGCAAATGTAGAACTCTATGTGTGTATATATATATATACGACATGAATAATGACTGCACGTTGGCTCCTTCAACCCTTCGGTTGCACAGAGGCCTCAACCATGAGATTGCCGTCATCTTTTTTTCCTGTGGAACTGCAGGGCGAAACCCAGTTCGCCCGTGGGTGACCAAGGATCCAGGATGAAACCCAAAGATCAACCACTTCTGTCGAGACTCAGATCGGGGCGAGGTGGACAGGAGGTGGACAGGAGGGGATGCTGGTGGTGACTGTTTTTTTGGAAGGTCAAAGTTAGATGGTAGAGGATCAGGAATTGTCAGGTTTGGAAGTCGACTTCACAATCTTGATCCTTTCCACTGAGGACACCCTGGCAGCACACGAGGCGCGCTTCGCCTTCCTCCACGCAGGGTTTCGCCCCTTTCCCAGGTCGCCTGTCCAACGACTCAGCGGGACACCTGCTTGAAACATCACAGACCATGTGGAACAACATTCAATCACAGTTCCACTAGATCAACATTCCATCTGCTTGAGATCATGAGCTCAAATAGTAAACAAACGACAGAGGCAATGAACGGGTAACTCTGAGCTTGGCTTCGCTGAAAAATTCCCTCTTAGCTTAGGCAAAGGCAATCATGAACACCGTACATCATGAATCGCTTTTTTTTCCGCGTTGGAATCGCCAACGCATGCGACGTTTCATAGCACCAGACATCGTCATCTCATGAACATCGTCTTCATCGTCTTCTTGAGCTGCTACTAGCTTGAAAGAACGGCCAATGAAAAAACTGCCAAAAAACTCGGAAACAGTCAATGAACATCTATGGTATTTAGTTTTATCTGAAAGACCATCAGTCAAGGGAGTTGTGCTGAGCAAAACCGCTTAGCCCAAATTCCCAGGCCTTCTGGTTCTTTGTTCAAAAGCTTTTCGACCAAGTCGGAATACTTGTAGCCGTCACCTTGGCTCCAAGTAAACACAGGGCTAGCATCACTCATACGAACCCATTCGATCTGTTGGGTTCTTTTCTCCGTTTTCGTTGACTCTTCTGTTAGCTTTCATCAGCGAATCAGCGGCTAACAATCTCAGAAACCCGTTAGCTTGCATGTGTCGTGTCTTTGAAAGCCACTTACTTGTATACATCTTGCCTTCCTTCCCGGTGCAGTCGGTTCCCAAAAAGCTGCGCTCTCTCTCGGGAACGGTCAGGGGTTAGACAACCGCTCTTGAAAGACCCGCAGGGAAGACCACACGATCGAAAGACCAGCGTTTGGTTTTAAGACCTCCTATCCGTTGTAGCGCGGCTACAGAGAACCGCGTTGAACATCAGTTCCTTCTTCTTTTCGTGTGCTGACCCAAGTACCAAAAACGCGTTTGGAACGAGAGCATGATGTGTTTATCTTTGGGGCATCGTCGGTCTGGCCACATGCTTTGTTGTCAATATACTTTGTGTTTTGGCTGGCTATTGTTCCACAAGAAAATCTAAAGGCTTCAAGATAATTGCACCTCTTCTTCAAAGTAAGAAGCCAAGCGCTCTTGGAATTAAACACGGCAAAGAACCCGTACAAAAGCGTGCTAGTTAAAGTTGGAATGTCTATATTGGCTGAATCGACAGTTTCAATGTACCAAAAGTCGATTTCTGCAAACTATGGGCTGAAACTGCATACAAAAAAAATGCAGTAGAGTGTTTGCCTTCTCGCTACTATGGTCACGTGAAGACATGTTCATCCAGACGAGTGTTCTTTGCGCAGAATGGAATTCCCAGTGCACACAACTTGGAATTCCCAGCAGTCTCCTCCAATGACTCCTCGAACATTCCGCCTTGGCCGAGCGGCACAGGCGGATTGGGGTGGCACCAAGTGCTCAAAAGCAAAACTGGTCAGCTGTTGTCAGGCCCAATGGTCTGGCAACTCTTGATGTCTTAAGAGTTGATCGAAAAAATCAGATGGGCCACCGATTGCACCGGGTTCTTCCAGTAGCCCAACCTGTTCGACACCTCGAAGTGTTTGGCGTGTTTTGGGATCAAGTCCTAAGTCCTCACAAATGGATCTCACATCGGTCTCCTCCCATCCTTGGTCTCCCACTTTTCCACCACGCTCGGTCCCCGGTCGTCTTAACCGGAGCGTCCAAGGAAACCCCCCGGAGGTCCGCGCCGTCCGGAACGGTTCCGGAGGTTCGAGCGGACGAGGTTTGGACCGGACGGGACTGATCGCCGACTGTTCGACTGTCCCAGTTCGGTACCAACAGGAAACACGGGTCCTAGTTCAGGTCCATGTCGAAGGTTCAAACCGTTTATTTTTTGGAAACCAAGGCAGAAAGCTGTTCATAGAGGAAGAGCTAGGTATGTCTGCCATGGCCGCTGTACCAAAAAACCATCTAAAAACTCTATGTTTGGAGACGAAAAGGCTTTCTTGGGCATAGTGCAAAAAAATGTGAAAAATAAGACTCCACGGTTCTCGGGTTCCAGGAGATCTAAAGAAGAAACTGTGGAAGCTGGAATGCCTTAATCCACTAAACACCCTTGGAATTGGAGTTCCACCGACTCTAGGCCGAATGTGCAGGTGCTGGTCCCGTCCACTCCCCTATCTACTCACATGACCTCACCGGTGGAAGGTGATGGATGGTGAAAGGGCACATGCGGTGAAACCAATTCATCGGCCCGTTGGAAGAGGATGTCCGCGCGGAGGACGTATTTGTTTCCCGCCAACACCTGCAGATGCTGCAGAGACATCCAACGACATACGGTCCAGACGTGCAGAATGGCTCGGGCGGCCCAGGAGACATGGCCCAGGAAACGTGGAAGCGAAGAACTGCACTGCAACAACGCAAAAAGCACCAGCAGCAGTGGCTTGTTTCAAACTCCAAACCCTTGCCCAAAAACGGCGTTAAAAGACCCACCAACCGTTCCAGAGAACGCCATTTCAACCCTTCCGGAACGAAACGATCGAAGATCCCGGCTGGGAGGAACGAAATGGCGTGGCGTCCGTCCACACCTCCAACTCTTCTTGGACCTGGCAGAACTCCCCCTGCGGGTAGATCAAGGCTAAGCCCGCTTCAGGCTCGAAGACCACAGGCTTCGGCCGGAAGGCCACATGGAAGGCGCTCAGGCCACCCTCAAAGGCCTCGTCCTCAAGCAGCAACTGATGTCAGCTGCGAGTTCGGATGAGGTGTGAAGATTTGGAACAGTCTGAACTGGCGCTGAACTGAACTGCTTTCAACATCCCTTTCCGTCCAATTCCCATGACCCTCACCCATTTCACCGTCTTTTCCCAAATCTCCAGCCACATCCAGCCACCCCCCCGCCACCCAGCCACCTCCCTCCCTCGCGCGGGCCTCTTTTCCATTCAAGAAGATCCGCAGGGAGTACTTGGAGTTCCGTCCGTCCGCGCGCCGCACCGGCTGATCCGTATGCTTGCCAAACACGCCGCCGGGGCCGAACTTCTGGATCCGGACCACGTCGTTCAGCCCACACGGCACCTGCGGAGCTGCGGCAGGCGGTTCCCAGAGTTCTGGTTTGAGGAGTGAAATGGAGTGGAGGGTTGAGTCGGGGAAGAGTTTGGTGTCGGAAGAATTTGGTGTTTGGCCTACAATGGCGTACAGAAGTTCAGAGTTGCAAGTCTTGAGAAGGGGAGAGCCTTATATCTACCCCTAATTGCCTTGGGTGAAGAGAGCGATTGTGTTTGACCCAGGTGGTCTTGACAAATCTTGTCTGTGTCAATGTACCACCTTAACCACCTCAAGAAGAACACCTCCGAGGCTGACAATGATGAAGAAAGCACTCACCGTTCACAAAAAGGTTGCCAGACAACCACAACCACATCCACCACAACCAGCAACAACCACAGCCACACAACCCAACAGCAATAACCACAAGCACAACAACCACAACCACAACCCAACCCCACCAAAAAGCAACAAACCAACAAACAAACAAACAAACAAACCAACAATCAAACAAACAAACAAACAAACAAACAAACAACAAACCAACCAACAAACAAACAACCAGCCAACCAGCCAACCAACCAACCAACCAGCCAGCCAGCCAACCAACCACAACACCCACAAGCGCACCGCACGTCTTTCTTGAGGCGATCCCCACCTCCCCGTCGATCGTGAGCTTCCGCAAGAACCAGCCCAGTCCACAAACCTGCCATAAGGCTTCCACCAAGAAGGGGTCGATCAAATCCTGCAAAAATCGCGGGAGGAACACGTGTCGACGGAACACGTGCGTGAACACCACCGGTTTACATTATTATCTATAATATATCATCCGCAGGACGCATGAGCTAAGAGCCCATGAATACGTCACAGGGTCATGAAAAGCTCCCAGTGAACGGAGCCATGATTACTAAAAAGGGGGCTTCACCCATGCATGCGCGGAGACCAAAAAAACATCACCTTGCACCACTTCCCTGCAACAAACATGGAAATAGACCACACCCTGCTTGGTATTCGGAACATGGTCTTTCCAGTGGCCAGAACGTCTACTTCCATGAGCAGTGCAGGGAGGGTTTCAGCAACACCAAGAATCGCTCCACATCATGTTCAGGACCCGATGTCGGTTCTGCCGGCTGAAGCCTTGTGCTTCGGCAAAGTCAATGATCTTCCGACACTCCTGGGACCAACTCGGAACTGGCGGTGAAGGGCGGAATAACCCGCACCCAAAACAAAGCTACAAAAGTCTTCAACCAATAATAGGATGGAGGCCACCGCTATTGGGATGGAGGCCATCGGAATTAGGATGGAGGCCATCGCTTTTGGGATGGAGGTCATCGCTATTAGGATGGAGGCCATCGGAATTAGGATGGAGGCCATGGGAATTAGGATGGAGGCCATGGCTGTTAGGATGGGCCATCGCTATTAGGATGGAGGTCATTGCTAATAGGTTGGAGGCCATTGCTATTAGGTTGGAGGCCATCGCTATTGGGAGATCTTCAACCCACCATTTCATAGAGATGTGAGACAACGTCTACTTGAGGTCACAGATGTTCTTTCCTGACCCACACCCGAAGAGTGTGTTCAAACATCATTGTCCTTGGGTGACAGGAAATGAGGAATGCCCACGCAATCCACGCTCTGGAAGTACACAGGCTCAGGATATTTCTGCTCCGTGAAGATGTGGCTCAGCATCGACCCGGTGTTCCGCTTGGCCGCCGACCACGCTTTGGCCTGACCGCCCGAAGCAGCCGATTTCGGGGCAATGGAAAGGCGGAAGCACCGAAGCCCAGCACCGAAAAGCTCTGAAGACTAAAACCTCGTCTTCGGGCCTGGGAGGTGTTAGTAAGATTCTACATTAGTTATATGATTAATATTGATTAGTTATAGTTATACAATTAATATACGAGTACTGTACAATGCATAATTCCCATCATTCATATGTTCCACCATTCGTGATTTCTTGTCTTCGCCACGGCCTTCTTCTTCTCCTTCTTGGGGAACTGGATCTCCATGTCGATGCGCAAGCTATCTTTGGAGAGGTGCGCGCGCGTGGCCGGCACGCGGCAGGCCGCGAAGGGCGCGCTGGAGACACCTGCGTCGTGGCCCACCACCATGTGGCCCTCATTCTGCCGCCCTTCAAATCGAGCCATGGTAGCAGTGAAGAGGCAGCCAAGGAATTCAGTGTTGGGCAATGTAAGATGAATTGGATCTCAAGGACCATCTCTACCTTGGAGAAAAAAAAACAAAAACATGCAACTCATGTGCATTCTCTCTTTTGGGGCCATTCTCCTTGAGCAGAAAGAGCAAGCAAAACGCCGTTCGTTTGAAAACGGATCGCTTCTGACCCAAACGGACACGACCGGTCAAGTGCTCGTTTTCCTCACTCACGCCTTTGGGGCGGGAGAGGAGCCCGTGGGTGTTCCCTTGGTGACTTGGTGACTTGGCTCTCTTTTTTTTCTGCGATGGCCTCCAACCTAAATAGCATTGGCCTCCAACCTAATAGCGATGGCCTCCAACCTAGAAGCAAACGAAATTGGTACAAAATCACTCATTCAACTGCCAACGAAGTCACCAAGTCTCACTCCAAACACATCGGAGCTTTGCGGCAAGCAGACATTGTTGGTTTTGGGAAGAGAGCCGCTCGTTTGGCCAACACCACCAAAGCACAGGGAGAGAAAGAGAGAAAAGAAGCACCACTCCACTGGGGAGGGCTGTATTCTCTCAACCAGACCATGCGACTGCAAACCTTCCTGTGGCTTGACGTGGGGGGTTGCAGGGACTCTGCCTTCCAAAAGCTTGGCTTTGCACCTCTTGCTGCATGAAGCAGGCATAGACATTCATAGACATTCATAGACCTCTTACCTCTTTGGGTAGGGCGCTGGGGAACTGATTGCTCTTCACAGGCTCCCACACAGTCGACGGCTCTTCTGCCGACCCAGGAGGGCGTCCCACACCGTCGACGGCTTGGCGGCCACTCGTCCGCGTCCGAGTGCGCCGTTGGCCGTTGGCCGTTGGAAACAAGAGAACGCCAGGGGTTTCGCATGGTGTTTTGTTCCCCTTTGGGTCTTGTTGTGGTTCTACAGGTTGCGTTCATCCCTGCAAAAAAAAAAAAACTCTCAGACTCTTCATGTCCATCTTCTTGCTTCATGACCAGTGACATCCAAAAGTTGCGCTGTTCTGCCAAAAAGCCTGAACGTCCCTGAGCCAAACAGAAGAGGGACAAGAAGAAAATCATAGAAAATCCAATCCACACCGTAAAGGCGTTTCCATGGTTTTGCCGTCTGTCTCCTAACTCTCACGCCCACTGCTTCGCTCATCTTTCCCCCACCCACGCAGGCGCCAGATAATGGGCCGCCCCAGGATTCGACGCCAAAGGGGGAGCTGCACCTCAGTCGATTTCAACTAAAAAGAAATGTGGCCAGAGTCGATTGAACAGAGTTTTGTTTGGGCCCGATGTGTGGAATGGTTCGACGATTCGACTCCGATAAAAGAATCCGAGAATTCTGGAAGGGCGCTTCTCGAAAAGGAAAAACGTGTCTTTCTTGCCAGGATGCCAAGTAAGGATCAAAGGAAGGACTCTGAGTGCAACCTCCCCACACTGAAAAGAAGGATTTGGGCTCCACGAAACACATAGAGATAGAATGAGATAGATAGGTTGTGTGGTGTTCATGACGGCACAAGTCGCATGGTTTTTTGGACACTCACATGGTTTTCTATCATAATACAATATAAAATATATAAAGTTATTGCAAATGCGAACGAAAATGATATGAATCTTTGATGACCATGACACTTGCAACTTCAGACTGCCGACTTCTTCAACCTGCCGACTTCCCTGTTCAAAAGCTGGATCACAACGCCCTCGACCGGAAAGCCCTGGACCAGTTTCGCTCCAGGCCACCGGTTGGCAGTACGCTTCGACACGTGCGGGATCCACCTACCGGAGATGAGATGCATCTGGAGATGAAATCAAATCCGTGTTTTACAACCAAAGCTGCATTCTGAATTTCTGAAGTCATACCGAGGTAGAAACCAGATCACCCTAAATGACACCTGAGGCAGTTTCTGTGATTTCGCAGCTGGGGCTCGAGGGGCTTAGTCCCATGGAAAAATGGACAACATGGCGACAGCACACGACAATTTCATTATCTCATCTGTAAAGAAAGGTGAATGTAAGATCTTAGGAGGTTGGAGGCCATCGCTACTGTAGGTTGGAGGCCATTGCTTGATTAAAGCTCATCTGCGCAAAGCTTTTAAGGACCAGAGAGGTAGTTCTATAATGACTTTGGGAACTCTCAAACCTCCCCAGGCTTGGTGCGAAGGCTTTTCTCCCCATCCCAACCCCGACCCCCCGAACCCCCCCCACCCTCCGGTGCCTCGTGGGCCCAGCACCGAGCAATGCCGGGCAGATGCCTTGGGCCCAGCACTGCCACGACGAGGCGACCGCCAGAGACCAAGCTCCGCAAGCGCGAGGCCATCACCAGGTCCCTACGACGACACCGGGGTGAGACACGGGGATCGAAGGGGATCAGGGCCCACCGTCGCGGTGGAAAAACGCGGGGTGAAACGTGAAACGCGGGCTTTTTGGAGGCCGGGAACCAAAGAGAGAGGAGCCATGGTGTGCGGAATTGTGTGTCGGTGTTTGAAAAAGTTCCAAAGACGCAGCGAAATCTGGGAGCTGAGAATCCTTTGTGACAGGAATACAGTCCCTCTGTTGAGTACGTGTCCACTGTGACCTCACCAGGACCATGCAAAATGATGCAAAATGTATTGTGTTCCACAACAACGAAACACATCACCAACACGCTTTGCGCGCAGCTGCACTCTTCTCGTCTTCTCCTCTTCTCCTCACCTCTCATTCCAAATGCAGCTGGCTACGGCTTCTTCAAGAGCCTCCTGATGCGCAGACGACTGAGTCTAGTCTATAGATCAGCATCTCTTTCCAGTGGACATGAAATGGCTCTGCACTTTTGGCAAGGAGGTCAGTGTTCTACGAATCAGCTTCCAAAAAGATGATTCTTTACATTCGTTCCACATCTTTCCACCTGCAAAAGGCAGACCTCGCGCCGATGTCATACCCGTCGCACCTTCCTCCAAAACCCCTCCTGAGAATACCTACCGCACCGTGTCACTCCGCACCTCCACCTCTATCGGGTCGGACCAGCTTGGCCAACCCAGCGCACCCAAAGCACCTCACGGAGTGATGCACAGAGTCTCCGCGCCCTCGGCGCGGCTCGGAACCCGTCCGTGGGTTGCCGGTGGGTCTGTGGGAAGGCGAGTGGGTCCCGGTGAGTCTCCCCAGCGCGGTCACAATGTTCAGAGTTTGAGCAGAAGGAAGATGAATGCTCTGAAGAGAGCGAGTTTGAGGTGGTGCCAACTTTACTAAGCATCTTGAAAAGGAAAATGAAGTCTTGGACATGCAGGTCGAACAGCATCATCACCCTCCAAGAAAGAAGAACCCAAATAAAACACCTCTGAAACGCTTCACACCCCAGACCCCTCGCCTGCTCGGAGCATGGGCACCTCCAAGTGCTTCAGTAAGCGGTCCTCGGTGATGCGCACATCTCGGTCGCAGAGCGCCACCTGCGACGGTGGAACCGACGGCATCCACCGGGGAAGCGGTCCGCTGGGGATCTGCGGGGTGTTTTTCTTGACATCGGGTTCCAAGAGAGTTCAGAAGGTGGGGTGAAGGCTGATTTTTTTGACAGACCTGTCCTTCCTGTGAAAAAAGGGGCCTTCAAGTTGTTGCTCCAAATCTCAAACAATGGGAGAAACACAGGAAGTCCTGCTACGATCCGTCGCCAACGCTCACGCGACCGCTTCCCACAACGGGAAACGCTCCCACCGGGACGCCGAGGCGATGCGCCGCCAAGGCCGCGCTGAGCTGGTCCTTCCCCGAGCGCAGCTGCGCCAGGAAGCGGCGCCTTTCGAAGCGGCAAAGGTGAGGTTGAGAGTGCTGGGGTGGGAGGCCATCGCTAGGAGGACCATCACTGATGATTGATACTCTGTTGGAAGTTTGAGCTGTTTTTTTGGAGGGAACTTGGCTGAGTTAGCTTTGATCCGCCTCAAAGATGGTGGTAGGGAATACAAACCCTGCTCCTTTTTCCTTCTGAAACACCTATAGAGGCGAGAGCGTTCAGAGTCAAGTACCATCTATCCTCATCAGTCTTGGATCATTCCATCGTTGCTTGATGTCCAAAATCCCTTCTTTCAAGCTCCAAAAGCCCATCCAAAACCCCCCACGTCCATCTCTCATTGGAACCGGGTCATCTCTCAGCATCACGCGGTCATCGCCTTTCCTCCGTGGTCATCTCTCCAAAGTGCTCAAGACCCATGGGGAACATCCTCCCAAAGCGCCTCTCCCCGCGGCCGCAGAGACCGACCGCGTGGAACCGGGACGTGGAACCGGATGCCGAAGAGTCGTGGGATGCTGCGAATCATTAAAGACTTAGACCTGTGGCCTTGGGGCATCCGACTTAGACCTGACCTGCAGGTCTGCAGACCTGAAAGCAAAAGGAGAATGAACCGACTTTAAAGCCCAATGATGCTTTCAATTCTGAGCACAACACTTTAAGAAACCTTGCCACGTAGATGTTTGACCTCATAGCAACTTTGAGATAGGCTGGAATCTGAACCATGGTGCTGCATTACACTTAGAACCTCCATCAAAATGAAGGCAAAAAATAATGATATACGATGATATGTGATGATAGCCCTTGGTCAATGATGCTTTCAAACGTTTAGGCTTGGCCACCAATTCTCTCACAAACATCATGTGCACTGCCAAGCCTGTGGCGTAGCTTGCGGAACACTCACAGCCATATCACTGGAAGTACACAGCAGGAAAAGTCTTGTTTATTGGGATCCACGTGTAGACTTAGAATACTAAGCAGCCACGTAATCAGAATCCAATTTTCCCCAATGGTATCTCCATGTATCTGCACACCATGTTTTGGTATCTTCATTCAAGCTACACATCTTCACAAAACACCGCCCAAAGGAAAAACCCTTGGATGGTCGTGTGCACTGTCTCCTTCGTAGCCGCGCGAACCGTTTGGTCGTTCGTTCGGTCGTTCGTGACCGTTGAATCCGTTTCTCCGAGCCGTCGCCTTTCGCAGAGTTCAAGGCCCACATGATCTGGCCGCAGATC